TTCTCAAAAAATAACGACTGAATTGCAAATTTGGCAACCAGTAAGCCAGAGGAATGGATATCTGAAAATAGCGTAAAATTATTTTATTAATATATTTGATTGATTGATCGACTTGTTTGCCTATTTATTTATTAAATTCAACAAAATACTATTCAAATACTCGTTGAAGTATACTAGTGAGTATGGTCCTACTAAACTAGTAGGTGTATGCAACCATTTTCTATTTGTTGTTCTACAATTTTATTTGTAATACTTCATATTATTATTGTTATTGTATTGAAATCAAATTTTGGTGAACTGATAATTTTTGTCTAATATGTACCATTGCGTAACGATTAAGCGCACTGCCTTGAAAATAGCCCCGTGTTGGGCACTGCGGTGTAAAATGGCAATGGAAAACCTCTCACAATAGAATCTCCCTAAATCAAGTTGGAGTTTAACTCAGCTCAAGGACCTCCCCATTATCATTTTCATTATGGCAATACCCACAATTTATATTATTATTATTTCAGCGAATTATTTCAAACATTTTTATTTATTACATTTTCCTTATCGAGATGAAGCTCTAATTTCTCAAGAGACTGTTTCATTTAATATCAGGTACAAGATCATAAAAAATTTATTCATTCATCTGTGGTTCCCAGAGAGCGATTTGCGTATCAAAAGATTATATTTGTTCGTGATTGGAATTAATTGAAGTCAATTAATTATTTATTCTACATTGGGTTTCGATTTTATGACAATGCAACATTGTCTCTCTCGTGGCGTAGTATTTCCTTATTCAGAGGTTTATTGCGACCAGTTCAAAGTACATCATATGTTTTTGGTTGTGCTTAATGGTTTTTGCTCTAAAATAAGGAAAATGGTTGAAAATTATTGAAAAATATTATTATTGGTATGAATCTATATACAAATCTTCTTTAATGTATTTTTATTTCAACAATCCTTAACAAGCAATGGAAAATTCTAATGCAACAATTCTATAGTTTCTAATTAAAGTTTTTAATTTAGAAAAAATACTCTAAAATATACATATGTATATAAAATTAGAAATATCTAATAACACAATTAAAAATTCAACCAAATCCACTAAGCCCCTTCACGACAATTTCCCTACACTTTGAATTTTCTCTCCAAAGACTGAATCAGTAAATATTAGTTTGGGAAAAAAGAAATCCATTATTTTTTTGGGAGATAGCTGTACTGGCAGATTTCTCGTGATGTATCAATCAAACAATTTCTGATTTGTACTCGTTGGAGAGATGATATTTTGCAGTAAAAAAATTCTTTTGCTGTTTTTTGTTTGGCGCATTCAGATGTAAGTTACAGGGTGTTAAAAATAGAAGTGAACAAAGAAAAAATTCGTTACATTTTACAGTTTTTCTTTGACAACGACAAAATTGCGAGCCGAGCGGCTAAAATTGTAAATGGTGTTTATGGTTTATGCATTAAATAAATAAAATATGTGCAATTTTGGTTTTATAGACTCCGTTCAGAAATTTTTGATGTCAAAGATGCACCTCGCACAGGTTGGCTGGTCGTCGAAATTTTTTGTCATTGTTGATAAAATCGGAGAAATGATCTAAGTTGACTGGCACGTTAGCAGTCGTAACATTGCCCAGGAGCTAAAAATCGAACATAAAACAGTTTTACACCAAAAATAATGGATTTCTTTTTTCCAAATCTAATATTTTACGGTCCACAACCAACTTGCATCTTAAAGTATAAAATATAAAAACGCAACATTTTTGCCAAATAGATTTAGTTCATATTCATTAATTCTTTGGCACATCTGGATGTCGCGAATTAATGATCATTATTACAAAAATCCGCATTACAAAGCATTTCATATGCATTATAAACAAAATCTTCAACTACTTAAATTTATAAGATCCACTTCCTAAATATAACTTCATTTAAAACGTCATCTTCTAATGCTCTGCGTGACTGGAGTTACTAATCAATTGATTTATTTCTGTCAATTATTACTAAGGCGATAAATATATCATTTTGTTTCCGGACGCAGCAATGTGCAATTAATAGAATTATAAATTTCGAACGTGATGCCGTTCGATTGATTTCTGTATAATGGAATATGATGATTGAATTTAAGTCGGCCTTTAGACAAATTAAACTATATGCAAATATTAATTTAGAAGCATATATTTTATGAGATTTATGAAAGGCCGTAAAAAAGCGAAAATTTTTTTTATGTTTTAGAAGTTTTAAAAATACAGAAAAAAATGATAATTAAAAACAGTAAAAAAGCTTTAATTCAATCAAGTGATTGAGTGAAGGGTCTCAAAAAATTGGCAAATAACCATACCCCTGATTTCAGCCCTACAAATAATTAGATAAATAGAACAAGAAAGATTATTAGGGAGAACTTCTGTAACGCTGGACACCTAGCGCCGGACACTCTATTAAACACGTATTATTTAAAAGAGTATACATCTTTTCATTTCAAAATACAAATTACTTTAATTAATACAACACTCGATCATTTCGTTACGGTACGGGAAGTTAAAGCAATTTGCCTTAAAGCACGATGCCATAAAGCACAAGTTTAAATTTCGAATTAGATTCGAAATTGAACATTTTGTAACTTGTTAAAATTTGAAATAAGAATTTTAAAAAATGATACGCTTGATGCTGAATAAAATCAAAGGACTTTGGACAAAATAATACTGGTGTCAGGAACGGCGATATCTCAGAAATTTAATTAACAAATAAAAATTAAATAAACAATGTAGAATACACACGAATGAAGGTTTGGTTTATTTGATTTTTCAATTGTCATCATTATATTTAGGAAGCATACATAAAATTCGATTTAGACATTTATGATTTAAAAAATCCATCATAATCTGAAACTCCTCCCAAGGGCATCATCAAAAATATTTCGCGACACTTAGTCTCCATCAACACCCGCGACGGTTGCATTTAATAAGCTATTGTGTTCCTTATTATGCTCAATAAATATGAAATTGTTGCAATTGCATTATTCAAATTGATTCTTTGAAGCAATTGTTAACAATAAAATCAATGCCAAGGATGAATTGATTGAATTAAATAATGTTAATGTTATGAATGTTAATTGAAATTTTAACATAATGCATGTATTTGACGCGTGTCCAGCATAATAAGGATACTATAATTTGATATTAAAATAGAAATGTTTTTTCTCTGACTATGGTCAGTGTTTATTTGTATGCAGATTAATGTTTTTTAATTGAATGGATAATAAATATTGTTTACTTCTTTGATTTCTTATGAGATCTATATATGCGTATGCATATTTATAAAGTTCATATATCACAGATAGAAAACATAATATTTCAATTATGCATAAAATATAGTTGTGATTGCAGAATTTTAACCTTTAATTATTACAGCTGTATCATGCTGTGCCTGCAATTTTATTGAACAATAAAACAGATGCTATTCAATTACAAAAAGTTTAATTGTAAGCTAAAAATGTTGCGATAGAAATCTGTATTGCAATTTTTATTTTTTATTTATGTTCAATAATTTTTTAATCCATTCCATACATGTCCATTAAAATCCATTTTACATACATGTCCATATTACTAGAACATTTAGTAATTTTAGTTCACATGTAGTGTGTACGTTATTTTTGTTCGGCAACTCAGTAGTTGTCCTATTCAGTTATGTCTAATAGACTCATACTTAATGCAATTTTTTACTTTTTATGATTTTTTATGCAGCTATGCCCGCGAAAAGTGTTTTGCACTTAAAATTATGGAAGCGATTCTCCCGCCCAACAGAAAAATGTTATGGCAAGGCCATGTTACGCCCCAAATTCCATACATTATGCTGAATACTGCCAAAATGCCATGTATTTGCTGTGCATTCAGACGTTTCACACATAAACTGCAACGTCACTCGTATGTTATGAAGCTGGGTCAGAAAGACCTTGTTATCTAAGTTCGTTTTTTTGACATTTGTGCGGTTTCTAAGTTAGATTTTCTATCTGACCACCTGAGAAATACGCCTGACTGCACAAATGGCTCTTGCAGTATTTAGTATGGAAAGTTCTTCATAACATGGCCTTGCCATAACATTTTTCTATTATGCGGCAGAATCGGTCCCTAAATTTGAGATCTGCAACCTTAATGCACATCGTGTTGCCTGATGCTTGACAGATGTTGGAATCGAGCCCTGGTTGGCGCTATCCCTTAGATCCTTACCAATTACACCACCGCTGGCCCATCAAAATCACACAAATAAACTCGATAAAACTACCCATAACTTCCAGTTTCATCGAGATCATAAATATCATGTATAGTTTTGAAGTAACTAACTTTTAATTCTTCATGCACGTTTAATTTATAGTTAGAGCTGAAGACGCATGCAGAGAGCATTACGAAGGGTGTGATCTCACAAGACAAAGGGCTTCTGCTCATACGTTTCTTCACTGCCTTGTTTTAAATAAAATTTCAGAAAAACCTTTTATTTCATGAAAATCGAATGACTGAAAAACTATTGCCAAGAGTTCTATTGCAACTAGTCCAAAGATAGTAGAAAGAAAAAAAAGAATTCTATTGGAAACAATTTCAAAATAAATGGGTAACTGCACCCCAAAGACATCATTTGCAAAAAGAGTATCTGATGCACAAACCTAATGAAAGTCAATACCAGTTAAGAATGCTCACTTTGAAAGACGTAGATAGAGTAAAGCAAAGGCTATGATGTGCGAAACAAAAGTGAAAAAAAATAGTGAATATAATATGAAATATGAAATTGTCTTTAGAGTTATTATTAATATTACAAGTTTTAAGTATTATTATCTAATATCATTCTTACCATCTGGGGCATCCATCCTATGAGAAAAGAGACGCAAAGCCAGGCCATTAGTTTTGCGAATGCAATTTCATCCGGAGTTGAAGCATGATTGTCGTTCATCATCGGCTGTTTACCTTTGCTGCAATTTCGGCTGATGCGTCGAACCAACTTCCGTCCATCTCCTGAACCAATTCGACATAGAACCCTTATCACGCCAAGGTTGCACCACACCAGACAAAACCAAAGAAGAACACCTGGAAAAAAACATACGAACTTGTGATAATAATCTTAGAAAGTCATATAAATTGGTAAGCATTTAGTATGCAGTATTAGGATATTAATTGGTAGATATTTTAGATTTGAGATTGAGAATAGAAAAGAAAACCAGATTGCATTAGTTAAACCTTAATTACTAATGAACTAACTAAATCATGTTCTTCTGAGAACATAAGTTGTGTCTGTAGATCCTTTGTAGAGTTAATTTGGGTAAAATTAATATATTTGCTTGTATTTGGTTGGAGCAATTTTTCTGAATTCCAAGTTGGAATGTTTAGGTACACCACTTTACCAATTTCTGAAGAAATGTAGTGATGGTAGCAATGTCAATATAAAAGTATTTGGTAAAACTGTGTTTCATAATTAAGCAATAAAATAATCAAATTTATGCAAGTAGTATGTTGAATCACCTATTATTTTCTATTGTTCGTACTCATCTGTCCACATTCTTCCTGGCCCTAACATGTCCCAATATTTATTAATTTCCTATGAATGTTTTTGCATATCTTCACGTTTTAAAGGTTTATGAACATTTTGGCATACCTCAGAAAAAAATGGCTGTGTGTGTGTGTGTACGTATATATGGATACAATTTTTCGTCCACGTTTTCGGACGCATAGATCAACCGATTTGAATGGTTAAAAAAACATTCGATTTCTATTGATAGGGAGATGTGCTGATTAGTATTTGGAAAAGGCAGGTCCAGCCGTTTCCGAGATAAAGAGCAAAGAGTGCAGAAAATAGAAATCGAGTTTTTGAGAGAACGGAACATCCGATTTGAATGATCTAAAAAACATTCAATTCGTAATGACGGGAAAAAGTGGTGATTAGTATTTGGCAAAGGCAGGTCCAGCCGTTTTGGAGATACCGAGCTAAATGTGCAAAAAAGCTAGTTTTTAAGAGTACTAAGCATCCGATTTGAATGATTCAAAAAACTTTTGCTTGTTTTGGCAAAATAATTACTTTTAGGAATTTTTTTTCCAATTTTTTTTTCTCAAAAAAATAATTCAGATTTTAATTTTAATTTTAATAAATAATTAAATCAATACTTCAAATAAATAAGTTTAACTTTGCAATTCAGTTTATATAATTCTTATAAATATTAGACAATGTTACAGGATTTATAACATTTCGTTACGGTATGGAAAGTTCCAGCAATTTGCCTTAAGGCACGATGCCATACACAACTAGTTTGAATCATTAATTCAATAGTTGTATACGACTTTATGCATGGGATAACAGCTCTATAAAAATATAATGCATTCCTCAAATAGTATAATTAATAAATTCTTTCTTCCAATAGAAACAAATGTACATCAACGAATTTTCAATACTTGTTGCAACAAAAAATCTCTTAAAAAATGTAGAATCTTGAGTTTGAATAGTATTTTAAAATTAATTCTTACCAATGTACTTTAGGCAAACGTGCGTCTTGACTCAATATCTTAATGATGATTTATTCGAATTTTATTCAGAATATAATGCATTTACGAAATAGTGAATAACACTCGATGTTCCATAATTAATATAGATTTGAATATGAATAAATTTTCGTATTATATTAAATTCATAAGAGCATAATTTATAGGATTGTAGACCATGAGTTCAAGGTTACTAAGAATGCGTTTTATAGTATCAGCGGGCGGGATAGCGTGATCGAGGTTAGGTCTAGGTTGACTTCCCGTCAAAGTGCTCTTAAAACCTTTTCATTGTACTTAAATTTATTGAGTTATTAGTAGAATTAATATTCTCTCGATGATAAAGTCTTAGAATTGATGTTATTAATTAATAATCTATTTCAAGATCAATTTGCTTAAGGTTTAATTTAATAAATGCAGTTCTCTGTGAATTCACTTAGAGCAGGCATTATAGATGAAATGTAATAAAAATCATTTTGTACTACATATATAAAAATAAAAAGTCGTTTCTCTTAAGACTGCTAAGAATATTATAAAAACAATTGGGGTAGGGCGGGCACTGAGCAACTATATTATGACGACCTGACTGAGATGTGAGATGTGAATAGTAATAATATTATGTCTATAAAAAAAAAAACAATTATATCACAACACATATTAATCGAACAACTCTCTGACTATGTTCAGTAAAACTGCCAGCTAATTGTATTAATCAATTAGATAACATTGCAATTAATTGGTAATATTATTGGACAAAAAAAATGACTTGGTAAACTAGCTAATTTGATCATCATTGGAAATCGCACTTGTAGAAATGATGTTTTTTGCCGTTTTTCAAAAATTTGTCACCTGGTCCCTTTTACTTCATAGGCAGAGTAAAGTGGGACAACCAGGTGGCAAACAGGTCCAATGTCTTTTTTTTAATGTTAAAGGGATTTTACAAAATAGTAGTTACATTATTCAACCAATGCAAAATATAAGTTTCATGAGTGCAATTTTTGCAGTGATATCTGGTATTCTGTCAGAAATAAGCATCAGCATAGTTGGAATAACCATTTCATTAACTTAACTCTTATAAAATTATACTTGTTAACTTAATTTACTTTTTTATTTACTATTTTTTATTGTTTACACCTTTGCCAAGTTAATTGTTCAGTTGGTTCTTTTGCGAGACTGATTTTAGCGAGATTTTATTCAGGTTATATAAAAAAACTGTTGTATCTAATTCAATTTTTAACAATATATCTTATGCAACAATTAAATAACGTATGCCTTAAAACTACATTAATGTCTTATAAAATATACCACAGTGTTCACAGAAAGAAAATACTTTTCTGGTGGTTTTTCAAACATTGCCGTTTATTTTCCGATAGCGACGTCGTAAGAATTGAGTTGGTAGCTGGTTATCAGCATCTTTTTTCCTCTACTTTCAAATATTGTTTTAATAAAAAAAAGTTAGCTTTGTTTACTTGTTTTTAAGATATCGGTTGTGAACCTTTTCACCCGCGGACATTTAAGCCACGCTCTATCCTATTTAGCAATAATAATAAAATAAACAAAAATGTTAAACTCTAGCATACAAAAGTTTGCTTCAAATTGCCAATTTAGAGATATGGAGAAACAGAAACAGTAATTACTTAATTATTAGGTAGGATTACACACAATGTTTCATGAATCTGCATTTCTACATTCGTTTTCAAGCTATAAAATTTTTACTACATCAAATCGTTGAAACATAGATGTGTAAAAACTATATTAAGGAGGCCATTAATTATGGTGATCAATTTTTTTAAGGATTATGGATCTCCCTCGCTCTTGGTGATATGTAGTGATACTTAGAATTACCACCCTACCCCACTCACTTGTATTTTTAGTCGCGTAAAATTTTCCGAAAGAAAATTTTCGAAAAAAACGTAAAATTTTAGTTTTTTTTTGAAAACTTAGGTAAAAAATAAATACACGTGATATCTTACTAGACCCCTTCCTCCCGTGATTTTTTCTGATTTTTTGTCAATTCCCCCTCCCCCTCAGGGCCTCACGTGAGTAATGGACGTCCCATAAACTCTTCGAAAGCATTCAGTAAAAAATATTAAAATTTAAAATTGCATATGTATTATTTCATTCATTCATTCGCAACATTTTCTTATTTTTGATATTAATCCGTTTTAAAATCTAAATTTACCAATTTACACATAAGTCTCTAATTTTTTATATCACTTGGTCCTACTAATGTTTCAATATACATACTTTATAGATGACAACCCAAACGGTTGTTCGGTCTCTATGTTTATTATTTCTGCAATACTGATGAACTTTTTATTAATGTAGCAGTGCCGGATAAAGGCTATTTTCACTTGGAAACATATTACTACTTATATTTCCAAGTGAAGTCACTGCTTGACATCAGTCTGTCCGAGGCGGATATAGAACCAGGAGTTTCTGTTTCGAAGTCCATGGTTCTAACCACTAGGAAACGCAATTATATAAATATAAAACCTAATTTTCAATCATTAACAAAAGCAGCATAAAAGTATTAACAATTTTGCGATAAGGTATTTTTAAAAAATATTTAAAAAAATATACAACATTTATCTTAATTATTGCCATTTTATAAAATAAATTTATTTACCGAAAGCGAAGAACAGGAATGCGTAGGCGACATGTAGAGGCTCCTTGGCATCTCTGTACCGAACACATTGGTCCTTTTCGGAATCGTAGTAGATGCCAAAGCCAAAAAATGGCAAACAGCTCAGCAATGCGGCCCAAAGCCAAAGGGCCAAAATAGCACGGCGTATCACGGAGTAAGTCACACGCTGAAATTAGTAAAATATATTAAATGGTATTTTATATTTAGTAATCTAAACCTAATTTACATATTGACAATGTGTTATATTTTGCTTATAACATTTGTATTTATTATTTATATGTACTAGATTTGATGAAATTTATCAGGAGTTTACTATTATTACTAGTATAGTATTATATTTCACTTACAAACTAGTCTATATATATTGTAATTTGCAATTATAATACATATACATTGATACATCGCATCAAATTACGTGCTGTGTAATCATACAATTTCATAGCATTAAATTGCTCATTGATGGTAATTAATTTTACTAAATCTTTTAACTTCATGACATAATTCAACTATTCAGCTACGGTAAGTATGTATAATATTATTCATGTTATTACTATTACAATCTTCAATATTTTTTGTAAAATTATCGAAAATGCCAATGATATAAATTATAAGAAATTCTCTTGAAGATTTTCTTATTTAAAGTATTGCTAGTTTTTGATAATGCATTAAATTTTATTTTACTTTTAAAGTAATTCACTAATTATAAGTTTATTACTGTATTTACTCTGTTACTATTATTGTGAATTTACTTTAAGCATATAACGATTGGGATCATACTTTCTTTTATCTAAACTTCTTTTTTCTCATCACATTTTTTTGTCAGTTCAAAATTTTTTTTATTAACTTCCTTAGGGTAAGTTATAGTAACCGCTGAAATATCAAAAATAAAAACTTTTGCATATCTTTAAACCATCTGAATTTGGCATACCTTATCGTTAAAAAAATTGATGTATGTGGGTGTGTATATATATGATGTGTTTTATAAACGATTTTGAGAACAAAACATAAACGATTAATAAATTAGAATTATTTAAATAACACTCGGTTTCTATTGATTGGGAGACGTGCTGGTAAGTTTCTGACGTAGACAGGTCACACCGTTTTGAAGATACGGGACAAGAAGAGCCAAAATGACAATTCAGCTTTTGAAACAACGGAGCGGCCGATTTGAATGTTTCAAAAATCATTTTACTTGTATTTACGAATTTGATGAAATATTTTAAGAACCAGGCGGTCAGACAATAAATATTAGACATGCACACATCAAATTATCAGATACTTCTTTATACAGATTTAAATTCTTTGGGTTCCGTACCAAGATATATAATATTTTGAATTTGCTTGTATAATTAAAACTAATTTTCTAGACATTTAAAATAAAATTCATATATAAATTTTAACTTTATAAGGACAGCGTTTATTTATTTTAATGCTCATGCATTTCACTCAAAAAAGTAAACCTTTCGGCTATCCGGCAGGTCCTTGTGCAGGTTGAAAACGCCTGGAAATTTGGTTTTTGAACTTCTCAAAGATTTAATAAAATTAATAACAATTTAAAGCTTGCGGCAACAAGTTTAATTTTCAGTTTTTTTTTTGTATTTTCAAACTCCTATGCCATTTTATTTATTCATTGAGTAGTTCAAACAATAAATTGCCAAGTGATTTGAACCTGCGCAAGACTTGACAGGTGAATTGAAAGGTGCACCTTTATGAGTAAGATAATAATGTATATACATTAAAAAAAACTTTGTTCTATAAACTTTAAATTTATATGTATGTATGTCTAAGCGATATTAAAAAGGTATGTGCAATGCCAGGCGATTCAGGCACTTACCAGGCGAAGGAAAAGATGGTATGGCGAAAATGGAAGAGCCTAATTGGTACAAAACTTTTTAGCCTTACTGGAACGCCGATACCCAAATAAACACTTAATATGTGAGGGAAAAGATGGTATATGGCGGAAGTGGAAGTAACCTAACCTAATTGATACAAAAAGTTTTGGCTCTGCTGAAACACACATTTACCCACACAAAAGGTTCAGCAATTCTGTGGCAATACAAATTTGGTCAACAATTTGAACTCAGCCCTTACATTATATACAGACAGTTTAAAGTGTAGTTAAAAATTGAACAAGACTTAATAGAAATAGTATAATAGTGATTCAAAAGGCCCTCTCAGATAGCATCCCATCCTTAACCAAAACCAACGAGTGGTTCTGGCAAGCGGTCATCGATGACAATCAAACTCCAAATGAAGTTCAATCGTCTTCCTCACGCTCCGGACAAAATGCCACGACTCATCTTCGAGGTCGCATTAACTCCAAATTGGAGTGAAGAGATTGTGAAGACATACTACAGAAGTGATCCTGTGAAGTATGATCTTGATGTTCATTTGTTTCGGGCGTCGAATAGCCTAACATTCGCTAGATTTGCAAGCGTTTCTTACGAGTCGGAGCGCGCTAGCGACACTAGGTGGATTATATGAATACTTAGCTAGGCCGAGACACAAACATATGGGACGAGTCTCGAGATTAGTAATTCAGTTTGAGTGCATCATTACAGTAGAACCTCATTTATCCGGATCTCTGTTATACGGATTCGCTCATAGATAAACAAGTATTATCCGGACTATTAATGCAGTTTAATATATGTATGTAATTTAATCTAAGAAAATATGTATGTACATACATAAAGAAGTGTTAATTTCTTAATAAACATTATTTTCGTTTAAGCCTACCTATGTATTTGTTATTTTTAATAAATACACAACATTATTCTTTATACATTCGATTATTCGGATTTTTGATTATCCGAATGCCTATCAACAACAATTAGTCCGGTTAATCGAGTTTCTACTGTATATGCAATTTATATGTAAATTTTGTATATATATATATTTTTTATTCTTTCATTAATTTTTGAAATAGTTTTGTCAAATTTTCAATATTTTAATATATCTGTAATCTAGTTGGAGACATAATAAAATTCTAAAAAAATATTTTTACTTACAAGGAGAACCTCCGGTTTACTCTCCTGGGGTTTTGATACAACTTTGGAGGCGTCCATTAATCACGTGATCGATTTTCTAACAGTAAGGATTTTTAGACCCCTCATGTGATACGTGTTGATATTCAAAACTATCCCCTCCCCCAACCAAACATCACGTGTATTTTCAGTCACAAAAAAAAATTGTGAAATTTTTTATTTTTTTTTTGAAAATGCTATTTTTTTTACAAAATTCAAGAAAAAAATAAATACAAGTGATTTCCTACTATACTCCTTCCTCCCCCAAAATAATAATAATTTAGTAATAAGTAATTTTTCGTGATTTTTTGACAATCCCTTCCTCCCCCTAAAAACCACACGTGATTAATAGACGCCCCCTTTGCATGGCGATAGACTTGATAGTCATACCTTGAAATATTATAGGCCTATGAGAAACGGTTTAATTATAAAAATTAAATAAAGTTTTGAAAAATCCATTAAACACGTGAAGTTTTTAGGGGGAGGGGGGTTTGACAAAAATTCTTAAAAAATCGATCACGTGATTAATGGACGTCCCCAAAGATGAAATGATCGGGTTCGAATACCATCGGTCCATAACTTATTTTTCATTTTTTAATCTATTTTTACGTTTGTATAGTTAAATATTGCAATAAATATTTAAAATGATTAAGTAATTGCATATATTTTGGAAACAAAAATCAATATATTTGAAACAAATCTTTTGGTTCATATATTTGCATTGTATTCAATCAATTTTATATATTTTATATGCTGCTATATGACAAGGTAAATTGCTCTATAATCATATTCTGGAAGGCGTATTTCCGAATGTTCCAAAATATTTCTCTGTTGCTCTTTAATATATTTGCAAACCACACATATTTTTTTGTTAAATGCAAATAGGGGGTAATATAACTTCGAAGATTTTTTTGCGCATCTTTTCCTCTTATTAGTTATCAAATAATTTCCTATCTGTCTACTTACTTTGGTAATAATTTTGTATTTTTGCGTCATCTACTTTTTTGGCAAGTGGAAAGAACCATGCGTAAAATATATAATTCTTACTAAATGAACAGATGAAGAAGTAATTGAAATTAGAAATTATTTGAATTTGAATTTATAATACATTTGATTTGTAAATATGCAATCTAAGTATCCAATGTGAATACATATATGTTCTTATAGATTTGTTTCAAATATATCGATTTATCAAAACTTTTCAATTTTTACAATTAAACCGCGTCTCAGAGGCCTATAATATTTTAAGGTGTCCGGTTTGACTATCAACTTTATTGCCATGTGAAGTTTCATCAAAATCCCAGAAGAGTAAACCTGAGGTTCTCCTTATCAGATTCCAACTTTCCAATGTGTGGAAATTATATTTCTACAATGGTGAATTAGCTGGGAGTTTTACTGAACATAATCAAATAGTTGTATGTTTGATACGTGGTATTTGCTGCAATGCAATTAGTTTGGTTTTCATAATATAATTGCTGAAAATTAAATTGAACCTATGTGCCCCGCCCTACCCTATAGTTAAATTTTCAACCAATTTTTTGTTGTAATTTTGAATCTACAATACATATTTCTAAACCACTTCGATTATGCAAGGTTTATGCATTGACTGGCACTGGCATTGACCTTTAAGTTGACTGGTAGAAGAGATTTCCATCCCTTTTGAAATTTGACGTAGGACCGCTATGAATAAGTTATATATGACTATACGTAAGAAAATATATGGAAAAGTCTCAACTGAGATAATCATATTTCTTCATGTCAATTGATCCTCGGCATAACGAGGAGTTAGAGGAAAGGCTAGTAGAAATATTACTGATAAAGATGAAAAAAATACTAGATTGTATCTAATTTCATTTAAAACTCTTCAAAACTTGTTTAGATGTATCTACCATCATTCATAACACTTGTCTGATTAATTTTTATATTAATACACAAATGCTTTTTATATTCAAATAAATTGGGAACCATAAGAGTTATGGTGTAGTATGGACCTACTACTTACTTATGGCATAAGTAGTATAATTAAAAACAGGATTGGATTTATATTACAAACAAAGTGTTTAGTGCATTTAAAAATAAAGAGAAAAAGAGAATAAAACCAGAGAAAAAATATTAAAATTGAAAAATACAATTTGATCTAGAATGAACCTTCAATTTAATGGTAATTTATTTATCAATAAATCGATTTTGTAAAATTTCACTTTTGATTTAGGTGGTTTTACTTTTTGGTATCGCCTTATACCAATCTGGCCGAGATGGAAATCGAACCTGGATCCGGTAGTTGCCAATCCACATTCTTACCTTAACGGAATCTTTAAAGAAACCCACCCAATAAAACTATTAGGCATTTTAGCCGTATCAGAAGATATTATATAATATTATAGCTATTAAGGACTTTCAAACTTTTCAGATTCCAGATATATTCAATTTCTCTTTATTATAACTAGTTTAGCTTTGCAGTAAATTGAAAACAATGATTTGACCAGAGTAGTAAAGCTTTTTAATGAAAAAAATGTACTATTTGAACAGCTACCAAATCTTAAAGGTCCTATAAGCTGTTGTGATGATTTGACTCAACTAATAACGTCAGTTTTATAGTTGGTAACCTAAATTAGTGATACATTTTATTACTACAAATTTTGTAATACTGATGAATCTTTCATTTATATAGCAATACTGAGTAAGGAGTATTCTCTGATGGCACTACTGTCTGAAACCATGCTGCTCGAAACGGGTATCAAACGTGGGAATGAAATCTCATAGCTCTGAACTATATTGAAAAATAATAATAGAATAATTAGGACGAGAATGTGGTAATGAGTGTAATACCCTAAATTTGGCCATGATAAAGATTTTTTGCAACGCTCCCAAAAGGCAATTGTACTTGATATTATATTTGAGATATTATAATCTCATATAAAAATCTGATACCATTATTGCCTTATACCAATCTGGCCGAGATGGAAATAGAATCCGGATCTAGTGGTTGCCAATCCACATTTTTACTATGAATCCACAACTAGCTTAGATATGCAGTAAATTGAAAACAATGATTTGACCAGTATAGTAAAGTGTTTTGAAAAAAAATAGTACTATTTGAACAGCGATCGAAACTTGAAGGTCATATGAGCCTTTGTGATCATTTGACCTGACTAACAACGTCAGTTTTATAGTTAGCAACTCACATAGTTGTCCTATCTGTATGTAATGAATTTTATTGCTACAAATTCTGTAATACTGATAAATCCTTTATTGATACAGCAATACCGGGTAAGGGATATTTTCCGATATCACTGCTGCATGACATCATGCTGGCCGAGATGGGTATCGAACCTGGAACCTCTTGACAGAATCTGTCGCTCTAACTCTATGTATTAAAGTGAGTAGTAAAATATCAGTTCCATCATAGAATACAACTCTCGAACAATACCGTTTTGAATCATAGTTAATAAATTTTGATATTTTGAATGAAATCTCCTAGCCCTAAACTATATTCTAAAGTGCGATGCATAGATAAACAAGTATAAATGGTGAGCAGTAAAATACCAGTTTCATCATGAGGCTCTTTTATATTTTATCCCTGAGCACTACTGCGTGAGATCATGCTGCCCAAGGCGGGTATCGAACGTGGGGCCTCTAAATGATATATCATAGCTCTAAACGCTATATTCTAAAGTGAGCAGCATAGATAAACAAGTATGAACAATGAGGTGAGCAGTAAAATATCTGTTCCATCATGTAACTCAACTCTCGAATAAAACCATTTTGCATCATAGTCACTAAATTTCGATATTTTCTCCCTGAGCACCTGGTCTACGAGCATCGACCGCGGGCGTTGTTTATTAGAATTTCGCATTGCTGCGGATGTCGCTATTTTCGACGTTTGTGATGGTCCCAGGGAAACCGCCTTTTTCCAATTACACCGCAGGGGGGCGCAATTGCCGCGAGCAATTTGCATGCGATTTCACGACGGACGACAACGGAACTCCAACTCTTGGAAAACATACATTTACTCAATTAGGAAGAGCCGGCCAACAGGGAATGCACTCGCTCGGAGTTCCTTATTAATAGAAATAAAGGACATTGCAATATTATGCAAAAAGTTTGCATAGACCAATATAACATGATTGACACTTACTTATTAGAACTACATTTCTTTTATCGATACCCGACGTTGTTTTGAAAAAAGTAAAATTACACCACTGAGAAGAAGTGTCATCCCCTCGAGAAGTGGCAAAGGAGTCTAAATTATTTTCACTTTTGAACTTGAGAGTAAGATGAACCTAATTCCAAAATTTTGTACAAATTGGAGCAGAGTAAAAAAAGTCAGACCCAAAACTCTTTATTGGCGTGAGTAAT